TGCAGCTATGAAGAACGGACCTTTGCTAGGCACAGAGAGTACTAACTGTTCACATATCAGTCCACAGAAAGAAGTCCTGTAAATTGAGGTGTCGTCCTTTCACTGAGGGAAAAATCCAAGAAAAGAGTCCAAAAAAAAAGGCTGAGAAATAGTGAAAGGGAACATAAGAGATGTAAAGCTATCTGCTTTTTGAGAGAAATTCTTGAGTAAGTGAAGAAAGCTCAGAGACTTAACAGAGAAAGAACATGATATGGGATATGACAGTGTTTAAACAGTGCTGAATGGAAAAGAAATGTCAACATCCTCCGACTGTGACGAGGCAGAACACCTCAATCAGGAGCTGCCGTGATTTACTTCCCCATCAGGGGAAATATTCAGCTTTATTTGAGTTTTAAGAGATACATAAACTGATTTAAAGAGGGCTGCAGAGTTTACCCTTGTAGGAGGAGTTACAACAGTAGAATCTGAGATACTAGTGGAAGAAATACATTCTTCTTTAATCAGTATAAACATCTGTCCAAAGCTTGTGTCAAGTTATTGATGTCTTTAATAAGAAAGCTGTGCATTAAGCAGGATACTGTACAGTGAGTATGATGTTATAGTTGCTAATTGGAAACAGCAGAAAGATAGCACTGTGCACAAAGAAATTTCATATTTCTGGAAATGAATATGCCAATTTTAAATATAATGCCAGCTATACATTACAAAAGAAATGGGAGAGGGTCAGGGTTACTTCTCTGTTGCATCACTTTTCCTTTTAACAACACTTCTTATTTCACTTTGTGAACTGAGGAGAATCATTTCTGTAATTTTGAAAGGTAAATATTTTACCATTCTTGCATACTGCAAGTTTTCAGCTGTTTAATAGTTCCGAGTCCCTATTTGTTGTGTTTTATGCTTAATAATTCTCTAAACATTTTTCTATGGGTGTCAAGTCTGGACTGCAGAAAGGCCTGTTGATCCCTGGGACTCTTTTACTAAAACATGCTGTTGTAATACATCCAGAATGTGGTTTAGCATCGTCTATTAAGAAGAAGATGTACTTTATTAATCCTACGAGGGGAATCAATTGTACACTCTGTTGTTGAACATGCTACACACACAGACAGGATCCTGTGGACACGCACTAATGGAAAGATGTAAGAGTGAGTGGGCTGACGACAACGATTGTCCTGAGCTGGTGGAGGGGGTTCACTGCCTTGCTCAAGGGCACCTCGGCAGGGCTCAGACAATGAACTGGCACCTCTCCGGCTACCAGACCAATTTCCAGACATGTTGCTCCAAAGCCGGTTTATATAGTTTCCACAAAATATGGTTGACTTCACAAATGTGCAGGTTATCTATACCATGTGTACCCCCATACAGTCAGAGATGCTGGTTTTCTGAACTGTGTGAACTGATAACAAGCCTGATTGTCCCTCTCTTCATTAATCCAGAAAATGGGCCTTCCAGTGGAATAGGATTTCCAGAGAGAAAGTCAAATTTGGACTTTTCAAACCTTATGGGAGTTGTTTACTACTCAATCCATTTCAAATAAGCTCAGACCCAGAGGCAGCATTTCTGGATGCAGTTTCCTCTTTGCATAGTAGTTTTAGCTATCATTTTTGAATGCTGCGATGAACTGTGTTCATAGACAATGGTTCTTGAAAGTGTTCTTGAGACCATTCAGTAATGTCCTCTACAGATAATGTTTTTAATTCAGGGCCGTCTGAGGACTTACGATCACAGCCGTACAATATTGGTACTTAACCTTGCTTACAGATGTTTCTTCAGATATTAGGATTTTTAAACATTATTATGTTATAGATAATAATAGATTATTCATGAAGTTTTGCAATATTAGCTTGGACAGTCTTTCACAGAGTGGTGAACCCCTCCCATCTTTGCTTCAGAAAGACAGATAATCTCTTTTTATACCCCATCATGTTACTAACATGTTGGCAATTAACCTTATTAACAGTGAGATGTTCCATCCGGTGCCTTTTTAAGCATTTCAAACATTTCCAGTCTTTTGTTGCCATTTGAAACATGTCAGCATCCAATTCAAACTGGGCTTATCATTTTCCAAAAGCATTAGAAAATCTTGTTTTCAAGTCAATTCAAGTTTATTTAAAGATCTATGTCTTTAAATAAACTTGAATTGACTTGAAATATATATCTTTGTTCTATTTTCAATCAAATTGAGTGTTTCAATGTTTAGCAAATCATCATATTCTGTTTTTATGGACATTTTACACTGTGTACCAACTTTTTCGGAAATAAGGTTGTAATCTGACAGGTGCATCCTGGCTTTGAACCTAGGACAAATCAGTGAGGTAGGTTTGGGGGGTGGCATCCCCTTGTGTCATGCAGGTTTTAAATGAGTTGGGATGTGGTTGCACGTGGCAGGCAGTAGTGACTGACAGGTCAGGTGAGCGTCATGGTCCACTCAGGCGTGCATATCCAGCTCTTCTGACTGATCTGAAGTGGCTTCAATTAACTGGAGCAGCCAAGTGTAAGAGAGGGGACTGAGGGGTACAGGCCCCAGACTAGCCTCTTGACATATTTTGGGAGGGGGATAAGATAAGTGGGGCCATCTGACAGGTCTTTTAATACCCCACCAACTCAAACCTTTCCCCATCTCCTCTTAGCTAATTACTCAGTATCCATACAGAGACACTTGTCACTGTGATCACAGCAAATTGGCTTTAACTGCAGGGTCAGTGAGGAGGATCTCACACTTGTGTATACATGCATATGCTCATTGTATCAGGGCCAGCTAAGGTGATATGGTAGGCTGCCTAGAGAAACCTTAAACAGTGCTGCAGCGGTGATTACGTGTCTTGTGATTGCTATGAGTGAATAACAACAACAGTAATACAAAAATATTATAGTGAACTTATGGCAACAGAAAAACCCAGAGTGCATAAAATACCATCGAAATAGAGCATTTATTCAAAACAAATGCTAAAGGGAATCGCCCAGACCCCAGAGGTCTTGACTATACCCTTAAAGGCACAATAATGTCCTAAAATCTTTGCACATTACAGTAAGTTTGAATCAAATAGTTAGGTCTCTATTGAATTCTTGTTTTGCATTTTACTGCCCAGTATATAAATAATTATAGAACTGCTATTTCAAGTGTGTATAATTTCCCGTATTCAAGGTGAAGATGATATATTTGGAAGGTGGGGGGGGGGGGGCACCAAATCATAATCTCTCCAAGGGAGCCAAAACGGCTAGAGCTGGCCCTGTGTAGTATTCATCGTTTTCAATACTGAAGCTATTTTGAGTTTCCTGAGAAAACAGATATTAAGTCAAAGCACGGAAATCCAATACCGCAGACACTGCCTCACATACATCTGAAAAACCGTATTCATGTTGATTTTGCAGGATGCTCTGTCTGTATGATAATATAGAAAAGAGGTGATTAAAATATCCCAGCATTCCTCGACAAATCCTGCACAGATTTAATTTTCATGGATATCCCCTGTGATGCTGATGCTAGAGGACACAGGCAAATGTGAGCTTCACTTTGATTATCTGAAGGTAATTCTCACTCCAAATATGGAGCAACATGATGAATAGATTGAAGATGTGTCTTAGTATTTCCTGTGTCTCTGAATTTGCTTCACTTTGTCAAAACGTTCTATGAACTAAAAGGCACCTTACAAATCCGTACACAGCAGCAGGCCAATGTGTCACATCAATAATGCACTCTCTTTTACTATTTTCTCTTCTTAGCATACAGAAAAATGTGTGTCTCATGGCCTCCAACTGTGCTATTTTACACTCTTTTTTCATCTAGCCTTTTTCTGGCTTTCTTGCTGTTCTGGCTGGTTTTACATTACCTAATTAACATGGAAAAGTTTTCAGGGGAGGCGTGAAACACACAGGCCCACATAATTTCCCCTGAAGGATATATTTTATTCTCATGTTGGCACATCCTCCCTGCCTGTACTCTCATTTCCCCTAAAAAAAAAAAAAACAGATCTCCCTCCCCTCTCCACACTCTTTAGTCTTTTATTAGAACAGAGTGCAATTTCCACTTTAAATGACGTCTGAATGCAACCTGAAACTCCTCACAAAACTTATGTGATATGCATCCTCTGTTCTCCTGCTACATTTTCTTTTTTTTTTTGCTTCAATGGCAGCCTTTAGATATTCTATCACAGTCATTCTGTTTTAAAGGATTGTGTTCTCAAGATTCAAACCATCTACCCTATTACTTATTCCAGCCAATAAACTTCCAATCACTTACTGTTTGGTTTAGGCCAGTTATCAAAGAATAAGCTCAAGTCAGTAACTCAGTATTTTCCAGGATATGACGACTATACCTGCAGATTTATAGACTGCACAAGCAAAAAAGAACACAGCATGTCGATTTCTTGCTATAGGGGTCTGCATATGTGGGCTGAAAAGGCACTGTAGGCACAAGAGGATACTTGGTTTGAAAGAAGTTTTCAATAAAATTGTATATTGGGATATGCTTATATTCATATTTTAAAAAATATTATTATTGGTAATTATAAATAGCAAATGTATAACTTATTTTCACATGATCTGCATGTGATTGTGTGCTCTTTACAATTAAATGGTTTCTCAAATTAGATGATAAAAATAAATGTTTTTCAGTAAAGCATTAAAATAGCAAATGAATTATAACCTTTGTTTGAAAGGTAGTGTAACTCTTGCAGTTTCACAGCCATAAAAAGGAGCTGAACAACAGGTCAAAGTTAGATGAATAAGATTCTTTTAAAAAGTTTGACCTTCTGTTGAAGGCCTTAACTCTTGATATTAAGGTCTAAATCACTTATAAAGACTCTTACAGGCAAGTAGACAAATAGGTTCCTGTTTACTTAAATGATTTATAGGCTGAACGGTATCCAACTTCCCTCACACAAACACACACACAAACAAACACATCCCCCCTCCTGCATTTTACTTGCCATTTCTTTATATTGATACAGACCAACACCCTCCCTTTCATCCCGTAGATCCTCACCCCATTTGGTACTCACCTAGATCAAAGTCCCTCACACATCTGTTCCACTTGCTGCCGCCATGACTCGCCAGCTGGACTCCGTCCGTCAGGTCTCTGCGTCTGTATGAGCGTCAGTGCTGCATGTCTGTCCAAAAGCCTGAGCTTCTTGGCAAGCTGCAAACGCAAACAGCGGAAAGAATCAACAAGACTGGAGTTTTGAGAGTGTGCGTGGGCGTGAGCCAGTGCCTTATCATATTCTTGCAATAGACTCCTTGTCAAGTTGACTGTTTGTTTGCGCATCTGTTATGTAGGAGACTTGAATACAGAACCATTTTTGAGACAGTGTGTGTGTGTGTGTGCTTGTGTTTGTGTGTCAAGATATGACAAAGACACATGTTAAATAAAGGCTGTAGTGAAGTTTACACAGCCAGGCGGAACAAAGTGGGACAGGGACTCCTCGTGCAATTACACCCAGCATTAAAACACTAATCCGAAAACAAACTGCATCTGGACTGGCTCCAAACTGCAAAGTGAGCCACAGGTGTAAACAGAGCCATGGAAAAGTGCAATCTCATTTCCACAAATCAATTCATGGCGCTTATAGTAATAAGATTCAAAGCAGGCTTAATGCTGCCTTAATACTTTTTGGGGTGTATTTACACTGACCTAAAAATACGGATACAAATCTTTTTGGATATATTTCCGAAGTACACGCTGCATTTTAATGTGAAATAAAGGGCCCGCAGAGACTCCAGTAACAGTGCAGCCATCTGACAGAAAAAAACCCGCAGCGGCACAAACTCCAGGATAGAGGTACGCTCTGGCAGTCTCATTAAAATCCTCCAAGTCTAATTCTCTTTCAAATACCACCTCTACCTAAATAAACATGACCGAGGACGCTTAGTCAGACTCCACACGCCTGCCAAAGGCAGATGAACAGGATTTCACAGAGCAGGCTGGTTGTGTTAGGCCGAACAGTCTTCTTAAAACGTCTGTGGATTGTAAGAAAACGTCTTTAGAGCCACAGTGGCTGACACAGAATCCATAAAATGCCTGACAATAAAGGCATTTTAATATAACAAGCAGGCTGATTTGATATTGGGTTCTTTTTAAAAATAAAAATAAAATAAAAAAAAGCTAAAAAAGTTAAAGTTATTTTAAAAACAGGTTGAGAAAAGTAAGTCAAAGGTTGCCTCATAAGCTGTAAATTCTGACACCAACTAAAACTTATCGGTTACATTTGGTGTACAGAAAATAATTGGGTACTTCATGCATTTAGGCTATTTGTATTCGTAACACACATCCGAAGTGCCTATGGACCTGTACCTCAGAGAGAGAGAGAGAGAGAGAAAAAAGGATCTCCATGAATGGAATGAAATGTCTTAAGATCCACATGTTTACACACATACCAAGGAAATGTCAATCAGATGCAAAATACAGACGTTGATCCCTGAAAGAAATGTCAAAAAGGGAGCCTGGCGCCATGAAGTGTGTACGGGCCTGGCACCTTCTGATCAATAGATCACCTGAAATGAATACAAAGCAGTTCTCTCTGACTGCACAAGGCAGATGCATATCCTGAAATTGACCTTAAACTTTTTTTTTTTAATCTATTAAATAAAAAACAAGTTTGATTAAACATGGTAACCTGGGAGCTGCTGAACATGCCGCCTACAGTACAGTAAAATGTATTTTTTTTCTAATGGTCCTACATCCTTTATAGTTTTATTCACATTTTATGAACCTTATAGCCCCTTAAAGAAATGTTTTGATCGAAAAAAACACTCATGGCTGACATTGTGTGAGCTTGGATGAAGATCTCACTCTCCTAGCACCACTCTGTTGATGTTTGTTTGCATCACATTTTCAGAATGGACCTGGACATACCGGTAATTGGAAAAAAGAAATGGACGCACATAGCAGGTGAACAGAGTGGAAGGTTTGGCAGCTAAAAGCCAGAACTTTTTAAAACAGGCATCCCATCCAGAGATAAAACGTAAAGTTAGTTTTGGGCTCCAAAACTTCCAGGTTGAATACAATCAAACTTCTTCCTTCCTCTTTGTTCCATTTCTGGCCTATTTTTTGTAGTCTATACTTTCTCTGTCCAATACTTGCAGCGGTCAGAGGTGTGACACTGGTTGGTGACCACAGGAAATGAGGTATGACCTGAAGTTTGTAACAAGCCCATCAACAGTTTGGAAAAGCTGAATTGGAATCTGACTTTGTGCCCTTCCGTCTTCTCTGTCCTGTGTTGTTGCCCTCCTGTGAATCTGGGGGTCTCAAGTGGTCAGTTAAGACGAAGACAGATGACGATGGACAACCCAAACAGTCAAGACACCGAGGCCTGACTGGTTGAACCCAGCAATGCCTGAGCAGAGTGAGAATGCACAATATGTATTGGAAAATATAACAAGAAAAAGGAGGAAAGGGCTGCCAGACATGATTGGGAATCAAAAATATAAGAGAGAGGAAAAATAGAAAGCAGAAAAATGACGCACAGACAAGGCACATAAGGGGGGCGAGTCAGGATGAAAGATAGGTTGATGTACAACAGGCTGATGAAATAGAGCAAGAAAGACAAAGAGAGAAAGGAGCGCAACAGCAGCTCAAACAATAGTCTTAAAAAAAAAAAAAAGAGGAAACAAAAAAAGGAAACACTAAAGGGAGGGAAGACAAATTAGGCAGAGGGCAGAGAGGGACAGGAAGAGACGGGGGGGAAGCCCAGAGAATAAAAAAAATGTCAGAATCAATTCTGCTCTGAAAAGAGGGGAGAATTAAGGAGGAAGAAGAAAGGCTTGCTGCTCTCCGTCTCACCGCTCCGAAAAACCTGCACTGACTTAAAAAGACCAATATGTAGAAATGAACAAAACGCCAGGGGGTTTACATCAAGCGATTCACTACATGAGAAAAGAGCCACAGAGGAAGAATAACTGACACAATTAAGAGCATAACTGTCATCACAGCCAATCAACCCAGTGCCGCCCACACACACACACACACACACAGGCACAGAGCAATAGACCCATCATGAGCAGGGATGAAGGCATGCTAATTCCCTCTAGCAATGCAGCACAGACTGCTAATAGTGAATACCAGATTCCTTAAAGGCTTAAAGGCTGCAGCATTCTAATGCAACAGGAACACTCGTAGAAAAGCCGAATCGTTCCATCGCAGCATGTTCCCTGCTCCTTTGCATTCTGAGAGAAAAGCTGACATTCAAATATAATCCTGCTGACATGCAAACCAAGTGAAGCCAAGTCCATAAAGCACACGTGCACAAGACAAAAAAAAAAAAAAATGATGTGTGAATCTGTAACCAATTACAGGTGGATGCATGCCTCCGCTCGATAAAATACAAACTACATTGAATGAGCTCCTCCACAGTGACATTTCATCTTCTATTTCGACATCATTTACAACTAGGCCTCGTTTTTTTCCCCTTCACCTCCTTCGTTCATTTTTTCCCCATTCTGAATCCACTTCTCTGCCTCCATCTTTTTCTCTCCAAAACAACAGCCATTCTAGAAAAGAGGCCCATCAATCTTCTTCAATGAGACCCGAGTGCGAGAGAGTGCCAAGGCTACAGCAGATTACTATCTCTCCTTACCCCCACTCAACACGGAGTATAAGGAAAAGAAGGACGGGCAGACAAGAGAGGCGGGGAGGGTCGAGAGCAAGCCCGGGAAACAATCTTAGACAGCACGCAGACACATCAGATCTTAAAAGCCTCAGATCCCTGTTAACAGCAGAAGCTTGTCAAGTAAAGGAGCACAGCAGCTAGATGTTAAAACTCTAATCCTAACTGGCAAATCCAAACCTGACCCTTAATTTATTCCCATGAAGAGCTCTGCAACTGGATAGACATGAGCTTCATCTGTGTTACCAGCTAAATATGGGAGGATTATAGGAATTCATTTGTCCTCAATTGTTTAATTATCAGTTAATTTAACAGTTATACTCATCTAGAAACGTCAACAAAATCCTCATTACCAACTTCTAAATCCAAAGTGAGCCCCTGAAAAGATATTCCAAAAACAAGCCTGATTGCAAATCACGTAATATTCATTATGACGTGTGCTGCTCTCCTCTTGGCCAGGTCACCCTTGTGTGAAAGAGATTACGAGTTAACTACCTGGTTAAATAAAAAATAAAAATTTAAGTAAATAAACAGCCAATAGATTGACAACATGTAGCCTACTGTATGAGCAGTAGCTAAATGTAGCTAGCCGTTAGTTGGTACATCCAAAACATTTTCCTGGTCAGTTTGATTGTGGTTTGTTTTACAGGACACGTTGTATAAACACTCGTGCTGTTGCCACAAATCGACAAGTTGGTCCTGAAATTATGACCATCTAACTTAGCGTTTGCTGTCGTCAACATGGTTATGCGTGTTGTGCTTCCTGCTTCAGTCTAGCTTGCCTCCCCCTATTGGCTATTGTTCCGTTCCTCGTGACTGTTCACAGAGTCCGTGCTCAGCCGTCCTCCGTGTTCTCCCCACGCGACAGGATTTCTAATCGTAAATATTGAACGCGTTAAATATTCACGATTTCAAACCTCACACCACAGGAGAATCCGGCAATAATCAGGCGTTTGCTGGAGGGAATCGGGCCCAAAATCGTCCCGATTATCTTGTAGCGTTTACCCCATTTTTAATAATGAAATGTTCAATCAGGATTGGTCCCCAAATCGCTCAGTCGAGACGTCCTTTGTCAAAGTCTGCGACTGTTTTCAGCGTTGCGAAAATCATAGGGCGCTATACAGCACATGTAATACCACATTTGAATGTCTAAAATTTAAATAGTAAAAACAACTGTCAGTGCTGGCCATCATAAAACACCTGGTTACGAATTGAGACATTTGTTTACCCTACCCCAAAATTGGGGACTAGACTGAAAATGGAGCCCAACCATACTGACTGCACTAGCTTGTCTGAGTCAACAGGAAAATGTGGAAAATGTGACAGAGCAGCTGATGTTTATTTACTTGTAAAAAGCACACCTCAAGCGAACAGTTGCTCGTGTGTAGGTGTGTTTGTGTTATAGAAAGTGTGAAAACATAAATCTACTGCGTTGTGATATTTAAAAGACTCTAGAAGAGTGTAAACCTGTTCGTGACAGAGCACTGACACTCACAAAAAGGTGGGAAAGCCAGAGCCGTGACCTCGCAGCCGAGAA